TGCCTACGTTCATAATAGTTAGAAGGTTTAACCATTTTGTTCCTATTTTGTGAAAATGATGGTTTTTGGAAATTTTGAAACTGGCCTCTTCTAGGTGTTCTAGCATTATTTCTTCTTATTTGAGAAAATTCATTTTTATGCACAAAATCATTTTTCTAGGGTTGTCTACCATGACCGTTTTCATTCCTAGGTTTTAGTCTAGATTGTCTAGTGCCCTTAGGTTGACTATGTTTTCTATTATCTTGATTTTTAGGTTTCTTATGTTGACCCTTAGATGATTGTCTAGGTGGTGGCTCAACATTATCTTTAGCTTTATTTTTATCAAAACCTATTCCTTCTTTAGAAAAATTCAGTGTCAAGAAGTAAATTTAAGTCTTTGTGAGGAGTATTAAATTTCTTGACTGTGCTCTCAAGTTTAGCGACTTGCTCTTTTAAAGCCTTACAAGACCCACATTATTTCCATCATCTCCGATGGAGCCAAAATTTCACCTGTTTTTGGCTTTGGGGTGTGATGGAATAAATCAAAATGGATATCTAAACTATTTGCGCTTCTTTAATTAATGAAGTAGCAGTTAGTCAAGCAATGCAACTTTCGACGTTGAGCCGGGGGTCTCTTTGGAAACAGCCTCTCTACTTTCGAGTAGGGGCAAGGTCTGCGCACACACACCCTCCCCAGACCCTACTCTTGTGGGATTTAACTGGGTTGTTGTTGTTGTTGTTGTACAAGACCCACATTCACTTGAAGAACTTTCTGGTTTGTCAGCGCTTCTTTTTCCAAAAAATTTGTTTTCTTGTTTAAGTATTTCATTTTCTTTTTCCAATTTTTCAAAATCGTTTTCAAGTGTAGAAATACGTTTCTTCAAAGATTTACTTGGTCCGTCCCTGAGTGTTTGTCCACTTTTGACTTTTGGAACTGTTCATCTAAGCACTTTGACTCATCAAATTCTCTCAATGTGTAAGCCAAAAAATAGTCATGTGTGATCTTGTTTGATTCGTCTTAACATATAGATTAATAATATATAATTTTTATAATTTTTTAATATACAAATTACAAGATAAAATGTATTAAAGAAGTGCATTGGATGGTGTGCAAAATTGAAAGTGGACAAACACTCAGGGACGGAGGGAGTATTTGTTTTAGAGGCGCTAACAAATTCTTCATAAAGTTCATGAAGTGCTTCTTGCATTTCTTCAAAAGTATAAGAGTCGGAAGAAATGTTACATACCTCTTGGACGTCGTCGCTTTGATATTCGTGCGCCATGAGGCAAAGATTTGCAGCTTCGTCCTCCTCTTCGTCGGTTGATTCGTCGCCGGAATCGCCACCCCAAGAGATGTAGGCCCTTTGCTTCTTGAAGCCAGGCTTATCCTTGCCGTGTTTAGCCTTTGGACAACTTGGCTTGATGTGGCCAGTCTCGCCACAACCGTAACACTTGGGAGGACCGTCGTGCTTCCTTCCCTTCCGCTCAAATTCCTTCTTCATGAACTTGTGGAACTTCTTGATGACGAGCCCGAATTCATTGTCGTCATCGCTTGAAGGCTCTTCCACCGGTTCCTTGGTAGCTTTGAGAGCTATCCCCTTTTTCTTTTGTTCATCCAAAGACGGGGTTAGAATAGTAGATTCATAGGTTTTAAGGTTACCTCTTAGCCCGTCGATGGTGACGTTGGAGACTCCAATGGATTCATAGATTGCATCGGCTTTAGACCTCCATTCGGGTGTGAGGCTCCGCAGGATTTTCCTCACGAGATCCTTGTTGGTGTAAGTCTTTTTGAGAGCATGAAGATCGTTGATGATCTTTGAGAACCGGTCGAACATGTCATCAATTTTCTCACCTTTTCTCACCTCCTTTGCATAGTTTTCAATCTTCTTGATGTCCTCGGCATCAAATTCGTTTTCGGTCTTTGGGACCGTGGTTTCTCCCACTTTCTTCATAGGGGTTTCTTTGCCATTTTTTATCACCAACCACAATTGGAAGTTGGTGGAACGAATATAGATTCTCATCCGTTCCTTCCAATAAGAGTAGTTGGTGCCATCAAAGAGTGGTGGCCTAGAGGTTGATTGACCTTCTCCAATTCCTGCATAGAGATTTCTAGAAGAAGAACCCATGATCGCTTTACTCTCAAACGGTTAAGTTTGGACGCGAGTTAGGCTCTGATACCAATTGTTAGAATAAAAGACCAACGCTAGAGGGGGGGGTGAATAGCGTTTGATCAAAAATTGCAGGAATAAAAATGAATTAACGAGAAGTAAAGAGAAGAGTAAGAGGCACACCGATTTTACCCTGGTTCATTACAACTTGTGGCTAATCCAGCCTCTCGAGAGACTCTCTCGAACTACACTACTATCTCGTTAAGCTTAACGGTGCTTAACAAACCCGTACAACTTGAGAGTTCGATTCACACGAACTTCAACAAACCTTCGAAGGAAACAACCCTTCCTTCGAACAACAAGAGAAATACTTTCTCTTGTCAAGTGTCTAAGAACACAAAAAAAACTCTCAAGAACAATACTCTCTTTTAGAGTGGATAATGAGTAACTAAGTACGCTCAAGAACGCAACACAAGCTTCACAAAAATGGCTCTCAAAAAGCTATGAAAAAGTGATGAATGATTTGCAATGAAAGAGTAGAAGTTGTGAAGTTATGTGATGAT